TTTATCCATCCATCACTTGAATATGTTGAGTTTCAGTACAATATTCTCCTGCGTGGTGTGCTTTACTCTCAAAAGAAGGCATTGATTGATAGCCATACAGAAGCACAACCACACAAGCCACTACCAATAGTGCATATTTCAGATACTAGTATATCATACGATGATGAGGACAGCTCAAATGAAGAACTGGACTATAATAGCCCAAGCTAGTTTGATTGTTATCCCATTTATCGTATCACTATGCTTTGACTGTTATTGCTATTTGTTCACTAATTGTGCACATTAGATTTAGTAAGTTAAACAGTAAACGTGGTTGTGACTTGCGAATGATGTTTCAACTAGAATACCGTTAGTACTAGATCTAGTATACCAAGAGTAGATAATTATCCACTCTTGCTAGTCCCTTTAAGTGAAAAACCACATTAATCATATCCATACACACAGTCATCCTTTGACATTCCTGATTGCTTTCTCCAACATATCCCATTGCTCTTGAGTGACCTGTACCAGAAATGAAGAATTGATATTGAAAGGCTAAATTAAGCTTTGTTTATGTATTCTTCTCCTCTTATCAAGCAATCCTGGTGATTACTTGAACATTATCTACTTATGCAGCATACAAATGAAAACATTGCTACTATGTGTTGCTGAGTTTTGGCACAATGTGTTAACACAAAATTTGTAGATGCCCTTATAAGGAGATTTTTGGGGGTGTATACTTTAGTTATCAATAGGTTATTGTGGCTGACTGTTGTATGGATTTTGTGGTTAGCATAGATCCACACCTGTTGTAGACAGTAGAGTTACCTGTGACCTCTTGAATCAACCTATTTTTTATTTGAGGGACGTCATTTTTCTGTAACAAGCACTATGATTGATGTCTCTCAATGGAGAGCAAGTATTGGACTGTGGAACAACTGTCAAGCTGCCTCCAGTAGACCAGCTAATGGCCGCCAATCTCACTCATTCAAAGCTGCAGTAGACAGCAAGTCAGGCAGTACTACATCAGGAGAGAAGACATCTAAACTGCCAGCAGCTCTGTCTCTTATTGTTTCTCTTCTTTTATCTTTATTAAGATATATGAAGCTCAATTTTATTCCTCCAACTGGTAATCAAACTATAGTAATACATATATATACAATAATAATTATACAGTGTATTTTACAATAGGCATGATTACTGTTACTGTTATGATCATTTGTTGCCTCAAGTCATTAGTATTGCTTATTGGCAGTAGCTCTGACCTGATCTACCATTTGGTTTTACTTCTCCTCCTCCTCTTATCAGGAGATGTTGAACTCAATCCTGGTCCTATGACTGATGATCAACCATCTTGTCTCTTATTTGCAAAGTATCTTGAACCACTTGTTAATTGGGAACCATTTGCTCTTTGCCTTCCTGGTGGGATAACACAACTTGATGTTGATATAATTAAAACAAAAGGAAGCTCATACCTCAGGATGGAGGCATTACACAAGACATGGTTACAAGTTAATCCTACAGCATCATGGAGAGATGTTATTGATGCTTTGAAACAATGTAAAAAGAATGAACTAGCTAGAACTATTGAAGACAAAGTGACAAATCCCACAGCTGGAAGAAGTACTGCTATAACAGGTAAAATACAAATAATACAAAATGACACTCATTAGCTATACACTACTGCAGGTAATCCAAAGGATATTTTAAGGACTCATTCTGTTAAACTTGTGAATGGTATTTCTATTGACATTCCAAGAACAGCATATGCACTGTATGCT